ACAGTACACTTACGATCATATTTTTTTGTCATAAGATTCACTTTGTATTGTTTTCGTGTAAACAACTTGATGTTTTGGTCAATATTTGAGACAATTTGTCGTTTTTGTAACAAAAGACAATAATTTTTATTAATATTAAACGTTATTATAGACTGAGGGTTGATTTCATTAACGAAGTATAGTTGAAGAGTTTTTTTACTAAAAAAATAGTTAAGAAGATTTTTCATGATCCGAAGATAGTTGAGGAGATTTTTTATTAAAAACTCTCATTCTAATAGCATCCTATACCTAAGATCTATAAAGAAAGAGTTGCATGAAAATTATCAATCATAGTGTGTGACCATTAGAAGAAAAAAGAAATCATTTGTTAGGAGAATAGTTAATAGTTAACCAGAAAGTCAAATTTCAGCTATTGGTTATAAGTAATTGAAATTCCAAACTCTAGTACCGGTGGAATGTTAAGGAAGATGTTGAACATGTTAAATTTTTGGGTGTTTATTATAGTTATTCAGAGCTAATATGGATCTTACCTGATTGGTTAATGCCAGAAAACAAGAAATATAATATTTTATATCAAACTAATATCTTAATGTATTTAGTACTTCGATTGATTACAAACTTTTAATAATTTATTAAAACATGCTTCTATGTTGTGCCATGTATAACCTTGGACCACCTTGAAAATCATACAAGATCGCGTTTAAAGCTGCAAGAACAAAAATAGAAAGAATATTGTAAATTTATAACAATAAATTAACAATAGTTAAGAGAGTTTTAATAAAAAATAATACGTTAAAACTAACACCCCACGAATCTAGGACCAAACCCAAGATCAATCTAGAAAAGCTTCCTCTTTTAGCTGTCATTGGGTACGCTTGTCGAGATAATAGCAATGCCACGTTTACGATAACTATTCATGAAATTCATAATTTTAAATTAAGGAGCTAATGACAAGATTAGTTTAGTTGCTAACCATGTGCTTAAAGCTCTAATGGTGTGATTTGGGATGAAGAAGGAACTAGAGAGACAGGTTGGACCTCGAAAGAGGCGGAGGAATTTAACAAAAAGAAATAAACCAGTAGAGAAGCTATAATGTTCTATATATTTATGGAAAGTGTATTTAATTTTTACTCCACGTGAGTGTTTTTTGGACCGTCCACGTTGTGTTTTGTCATCAAATGTTTATTCTTTAAGATTAGTGTCTTAATCGAGTAATTGAGAATCTTTTATTGCTATTTTAAAGAACCAAATATTTAGGCTTAGCTGTTTGGATCACTAAAGAAGGATCCACTCAATTCTGTTGGAATTTAAAACGAACGACTTTCAACAATTAACTATTGTAAATATACTGATTAGTGATTACCCTTTTTGTTAAATAACATCAGACAGAATACTGAATTTTAATTCGAATTGTAAACACAAATAAAATACTACTACAAATCACTAGACTACACATAAAGATAACATTTGTGAAATTTGTATATATCTAAATATATCATTAAATTATTATATCTAATAAATCTACAACATGGTACCATTTCAACAGCTTATATCAAATAAAAGTGATTATATATAATTTTACGTTTAGTTTTGAAGAAATTTGATTTGTGATCTTTAACAAGTAGGAATTACTAGATTGTTACTTGTTAATGGTGAGGACTTTACCATTTCAACATGTTACTTTGTTTATTTTTTCATTTTTAGTTCGTAGATGTGCATGGACTTTTTTCTTTTAATGGTGAGGGCGACGCAGAAGACGAAGAAGCTTGTGTCCCAATTGTTTTTACAAAACATTTTTGAATGTTGACCCAAAAAGAAAAAGAAAACATTTTGAGTATACTTTATTTATAGCTTTTAGTGTCCCTTTCTTTTAGTAGTGAAATTGTGAAAAGATTATTTACTGGCGTCGCTATCCATTTATTTATTAGTAAAAAAAAGTGATATCCTCCATCGTTTTTTTTACCAAAGGATGTGCTACTAGCAAATAGTAGAAAGATTGAAACTTGTCCTCTCACGTCTTATTGGTTGCGTTTTTTTTATTTCAATGATGATAAGCATTGGAAAGTTTGAAGATATATAGTGGTATTTTTAATAATATTATATTTGAAGATTTTTTAAAAAATTATTAAAATCTTCTGTGATTAAATCTCTAAATTTTTTTTTTGAAAATCTACTAACATTTTTATTCATTTATTTTCAAGTATCCATACTCTAATACTGCAGATTTATCAATTGCATGCATGTTTTTATTCAGTATATACCGTAAGTTTTTTCTTAATATATATATATATACCGTAAATATATTAACCTCACAAATATAAAACTCGTATAACAACATGTATACTATACTGTTAAACCTATGCACCACCTTCATACCATATCATACGTAAATCCACAAAAGAACTCTACCACTTGCAACCTTTTAAAATATTTTGCAATTCTTATAATTTTTTTTTGCAATATAAATATATAGAGCTAAGAACATCTGTAATGTATTATTCTATTTTTTACTTTAAAATGGAGTAACTCCAAAATGAAATTAGATTTTACTAAGACGCATTAGTAAACACATCTATTATGAGTGTTCAACCGCTATTAACGAATGACACAATCCTGTGTTTTATCAGCATGAAACTTTTTTCCGTCTAGTTTTGATTTAAAGTTGAATACTATATGTTATCAATGATAATATGCAAGAAAAATAAAACATATTTACTTGGTTAGTATTACAAAGCAAAACATTATTTCGATTGCATGTGGACTAACTTAAACTTGTTCTAGAATTTTTTTATACAGAAAAAAAAAACAATTTGTCCCAGACGAGATGGGATCGAATTGTTCTGTTGGCTTTTGATTCATGACAAATTTTTTACATCTATGTATATACTCCCTCTGTATCATTTTAAATAATTTTTAAAGTTTCTATACACAAATTAAAAAACTATTTAATTTTCTATTTTTCAACATAAAACCACCAATTCCAATACAATTTAATTAATCTGCAGAAATTAAAGAGTCAAAAACAACAAAAATATAATTAATTTTACTTTAAAAACTTAAACATCATCTAATTTAAAACAAAAATATCTCTCTAAAAAATCATTTAATATGATATGGAAGAAGTATTATACTCCTTAATTATATTAAAGAAATTTAATACAACGTACATTTAATGCTCAAATCAAGGCGTAATTCAAGGGAAAAAATACTGAAATTATTGGTCGAGAAATAGTTTTCTTCTTGCGACAATTTGTTCAATAAAAAAAAATTTAATAACTAGAGAATTAACCAAAATTAGCCTATGTGTCATAATTATATACATTAGATTTAAATTAATTGGTTAGGTTTTCAATTTTCGATAGATTTACTTTTATATTAAAAAAAACTTGTTGGCATAAACACAACCAATCATTGGCGGAGAAGCAAAAGTAGATTATGAATATGGTTAATTTAATTGAGTTTCAATTATGTTATATTTTGATAAGAAAAGGTCTAATTCCCTCTTTTTATTTTGAGAAATATCTATTTCCTCTGTATCAAATTAGATGATTTTTTAGAGATTTGTTTTTGTATCAAATTATACTCGCGTTGTATCATTTTAAATGATT